CATATTAATTAAATTATAAATATATCAATTCATGTGAATATGACTGAAAATTTTCATTTTTTCTGAAAAGGTGGTGTCTATTTACTTGTGACCACGCTGTGTACATTGTTTCACAGTTATAACTTTAAAATTCTATCAGTTTTTCAGTTCCCACTCTAATTAACACATTCAAACCTTCTCTAATGTTGCTGGAAAACCTTTTCTGTCACATGTAAAAGGCATTTGATGGACTAGGCCGGTGTCATCCTTCATGGACAGAACCATGTCCAAGAGAGTGTCTTCTTTCACTGAAAAAAAGTTTAACTACATCAATTAACTTCATTAATTACCTAACAATTAGCTATAACAACCTGGTAGCAGAAACAACTGCTAGATAACTTTCTAACTTGATGAAAGATTGCATATATAAAATATATTAATAAAATCAAGTTCTTATGAAAGATCTACAAAGTAATTTTTGTTGTATCCACAAAAAATTCTTAAAAATAGTACTATTTCACCAATGTTGTACATCAGCATTTGTAAATATCATAATTATAGCTAATAATAATAAAATCCAGAAATTGTAAAACTTATACTGATGAACAAGAAACTTATTCAAACTTTTAACGAAGCTTAATTAAAAACTATTGAAAAACTAAGTTATGTTTAAAAACTGATTTTAATAATATTGTTTATATAAAACAGCCTGTATTAAAAATGATCCAGTAATTATTTTCTGAAGATTACTGTGGTTCTGCTAAATTAATATCAAATACAATTTTTAATTTTTCTATTGAATATATTTAATGTATTTGATCTCTTCATTACCATGTTCATGAAATAAAATGTCTTAGATTTAGAAAGTATACTAATCTCTAACTTACCAATATTAGATTTATCTGACATCTTTACCTTCGTCATCAGTTAATATTATAGTACACTAGATGGCATCACTTGTTCACAATACATAATCAACCTTGTGGTAAATTGTAAGCACAAGTTTGTTTAATTCTTATAAGTTGCTGAAAGGGTTATAATTCAGAAAATAATAACAATAAATGCATGTCCAGAAAGAATAGTCCTTCTATAATTACTAAAGTGTTGTGCAGTACCCTAGACTACAACCCAAGACATATCTGAAGAATAATCCACAAAACCATTACCACAAAACACACTAGGCTTAGAAATTCACAATACAACAAAATGTAGCCATTAACACAAAACACACTAGGCTTAGAAATTCACAATACAAAAAATGTAGCCATTACCACAAAATATATTAGGCTTAGAAATTCACAATATAGAAAATATACCTATTAACACAAAACATACTAGGCTTAGATATCCACAACATAAAAAAATGTAGCCATTAACAGAAAACACACTAGGCTTAGAAATTTACAATATAAACAAATGTAACTGAATAAAACAAAGGCTTAAAAAAGTATGATGGAAGATCTTTATGAAAAAAATAAAAGTTGCCACAATCTAGTACTGAAAAGATCCTAATACAGTGAAACAAAGTAATAATAATAAATATAATAATAAAATTTTGAAACCCTTACCTAAAAGTTTTGAAATATAACACCAGAACAATGCTATTACTTTTGAAGACTGGAACTTTTAATATCTATAAATAAGATATTAAGAATAAAAAAAAAACTTACTTCTAATACCACTGTCAGAGACTAGAAACAAATCATACTTGGCAGCTTCATAGCCAAGTTGCATATTATTAATCTTTGGATTAACCCCAACTTTCATTCCACCTGTGATTAAGAACAAATACATATATTATTCTAATTGCAATGTAAATTATAAACATTGAATAATTTGAAAGGTTACATAGATGCCACGTGTACACATGTGCAAACCTTGCCGTTAAGTTCATGCTCAACAAAACAGTATCAAAGTAATAAAGCTAGACAAGATTTTTACATTTTAATTTTAGGCTATTATTCTTTGCAAATCGTAGGCCTGAAAATCTATTCACAGCTTCTCTAAATTTGAACACAAATGAAAAGTTATAATTGCATCTTGTTCTCTGTGGGGGAAAAAAAAATAAACTGTATTCTGGAGCACAAGTAAAATATGATGCACCAAAGTTTTTCATTTCCAGTCAGATGAGTTTGATAATTTTTGAAAAATACTTTTTTTTATAATACTAATTTGACATTAGCATATATTTTGGGATAAAAACACTTGTAAAATGTTTAAGTACTGATGCTGAATTATCTAACATTGTATGATTTAGCATACATTGCATCTCAAAATTGTGCTTCAATTTTGGTACGTTTGGTCACTGTAGTTTGGAAGGTATGGTTAAAGCAACAAATTAATTCCAACATGAGTAGTGTATTTTTACTCAGTCTTAAGATGATGCAAGCTATATGTAGCTGGAGTGCTTATACTATTAACTAATTCAACATGTCATAGTGGACCAATAACTTTTCTCTATAGCCATGAAATATAAACATTAAGTTTTATCCACCGACACACTTCTGACTGTAATAAATCACATTAAAACTTATGTATCTTGTAAATACTCTCCTTAATAATTTTGTACAGGTTATGCTACAATATTATCATTGAAAAATATCACATTAGTTATCTTCAGTGGGATTATACACTGTTTTAAAGCTAACAATTTCAAAATTTCAAGCTTTTTTAACACTTATTTAACATTTGTGAAATACTATTATTAATAAAGACCGAAAAAAATGTTACAGTTTATTCAGCTAAAACTTTCAGATGCTTTAAATATTTGGTTTTAGCATTCATTAACATAAATACTGAAAATCAAGAAAACAAACAAATTGTGTTTTATACATTACAAACCTTATATCAAGCTCAGTATAAAACAATATTATGTTCTTTCAAAAACAGCTCTATGTGGAACACTAAAATGCATTTACCCAGCAATGAGAAAACCACTGTTTTACAACCAGTGATAGATTCTCCTTTTATGCTAATGTATAAATTATTGTTGCATCCTAAGCCTACTGTTCCTAATTCTTAAACATCGAGGTGCATCAATATGAAGTACCCAATTTTTTGTTTGTTTGTTTTATTGTATTTCAAAAAAGAAGAAAAAACATTACTGGGTGAAATTGTCTGAAACCTGAGATTAATTTTCTAAAGATTAGGTACCTTCTGTAAAAATAAAACACCTTATTTTTATATGCAATAGATGTGTATAAATTTGTAATTAAAAAAAATTGAAATTATTTTATTGTGAGATTTTTTATGTAGCAATTAAAAATGCCTACCTTAGTTAAATATTTCAATTAACATTTTTTATGTCTTCTTACATTCTAATCATATAAAGATTTCCATTAAAGGTTTTATTCTATAATTAAAATTTTCATCTTTGTTTTGATTAAAAAAAACACAAGTAACTCAAGTGTGTTCACAAGCACTGGATACAATAAAAACTTTTTATTTTTTACCACACCAAAATTAATACCAACCAATTTATTTTAATTATTAATAAGAATGTTTTATTTAAGGTATTTAATAAATTTTAAACCCATTTCATATTCATTTAAATATACATTTCTCTTTTTCCATTCAAGCAGTTACTTAGGCTGACTAGGCTTAATATAAACGTGGCCTAACGCACTGATCTTGTCAACAAAATGAAACATGATACAGTTGAGTACAAAAAGATCTGACTAAGCTTACCTCATTTTGTTCCACAAAAAAATTTCCTATCTTACAGTAACTTCATAATTCAACCGAAGTATAAAAATAAAATTGTAAAGCAAGGTTTTTACATGCTTTAAAATAAAACTATAGAGCTGCAACTGAGGTAGAAGTTGCACACACACACACTCTTTGAGCAACAAATCAAGTTAAGATTTTATCATGTGATAAAACTAAAAGTTATAAAATTATATATTCAAACATTTCAACTAGTATTGTTAATTAAAGTTACACTAAAAATAATAAAGACTATACAATGCTAATCTAACAAAGGTAGAAATTTAATATATATAATAATATTCAGTATGATAAATAACTTTAGGAGCAAACACACGAAACAAAGGCAACAATTAGAAGTTGTATTTTTCAGTTGATCTCCAAAAAGTACAAGCTTAAATATCAGACAAGTGACACTGAATAAGCAAGACTGCAGTTAAAATACTACAGGAAACAGATTTAATACAGTTCTGTGTTTGAAAGGTTAGCACAAGAATTATTAAATGTTTCTTACCTATAAATATTTTGGCATCAACACTTGGATACTTCTCCATCAAACGTTTAACTAACATAATGGAAGGATCACTCTCATCGTGGATACACAACAAAAGCTCATACTGAAACATGATAAAGAAACAATGCATGTCTACATCCATGTAGTTTTACAAAGACAACTGTTCTCACTGAAGAAATAATATATTACCTTGGGGCTTATGTCCCATAATAAAAAACCAAGAAATGTTCAGATATAACAATTACAAGCACAGACTACAATTGTTATCACATTCTACCAAACAATACAATTTTTTCACAATATCACATACAACATGTTGGTTATGGAAAGTACAGGTACACCAAAGATCACAAACTGTGAACACCTGCACAAACTACAAAAAACAGTGTGCATGTGTGTGCAAGTGTCTGTTTTATATATATACATATACATACATACATACATATGCACACACACATACATATACATATATAGTAATCCTAATTTTTTTAAATTTACTTTTACAACATCTCTTAAAAGAGCTTATTTCAAATGTCATAATGGTTGTATAAAAGCCTGCAGCTATGAGTGTTATTATGAAAAGTTCCTGAATATTTTTTATACAAAAACAAGAAAAACTATCAACAGTACATAGGTTAAAAGAGAGAGAAAACAATATTTACCTGAGGATAGTTCATAGTAAAGAAAGTCTCAAGGTTAATAAATAGGTTTGGATCAACTCCCACAAGTGGTTTGATTATGGAAACTCCAGGAAGTGGTTCTTCTGGTGGAATTAACTGAATTTTCTTATGTAATTTCAGTTTCCTATATAAAATTAATAATAACACTCATTAAGTAACTCAGTAATTTCAATATATAAAATCATATTGTAAACGAAAAATTAATGTAATCAATGAATTATATACAAGTTATTAAACGCACTCACTCACATGCGTGTGTGTGAAGATGAGCAAGCATCAGAACTACATATAGTAATTATTACTACAATGACTACTTTTGTTACCAGAGTAAGTGTTTTTTATAACATTAACATTCAGTGGTTACTACTAGTTATCATCTCCTGAAACTTTGATAGAACAGACATAGTCACATGGATTAGGATATGTAATTTTTTTTTAAAGTCTGAATTTCCTGGAAGACCACAGAAATGCTAACTTGATTAAGGTCAATGGTGATACTGTGAAGGAAAAGTCTGTCAACAACAAAAAAAGAGGATGATAACGATTTGAAAATATATATATAGTAGTAGCAATTCATTAAGAATTTTTTGAATAATTGTGATAGAGCTAGTGTTTGCTAATTTACAGTTATTATTTAACACTCAAGTTCTTTCTTTGGGGCAAATTCTGGGTGTCTTATCCAGTTTTCAATCCTAATAAGAAGCAGAACTTCAGCAAATTATTTTTTGCACTGGATTCGAGAAATTTCATACAGATTATTAAATTTTTTTTGTATTTCTAAATACATAATAAAGTTATTTTTCAAGTATCTTAATTGCAAAATAATTCAATTAAAAGACCAGTGTATAACAAATATCAATAATTATGTTGTGTTATACACAAAGATACATTACATGAACAACCTCAGAGTCAGTAGCCCAATACACTGTTGTCTTATGTTTAACCCTAAAATTAGTGATACGGGTCATACAGGCTAAACTATTTAGGTGCCAATTTGTGGGTTTATGTTAGTTGTAGGGTTCCAAATAACTTATGGGTTACACAGATACACAAAAGCAATCAATATTGCAATTATTCCCATTAATTACTGTAGAGTTCCATGATCTGTTTCACATGAGAATAAGCTATTTCATCCTATGTTTTTCACAAAGTGTAACAAAAAATTAATTATCCAATATAATGCAATATGTGGCCCCATCGGTAATGAACAATATATACATAAATACAAGTTTGTCGCTGGAAGAAGATTAAACCATGAAGAACATTGGTCAAATATTACAGACTATACACCTGAAATGAAAGAAAATAATGATGTGCAAAATAAATAATTTAGTATACATTTATCACGATTACGGTAGAAACTGTGCAAAATAGCTTCTGAATATGGATGTACAACTAGACATAAAATGCCGTACAGCCTCACACCACAAATAAAACACGAACTGCTTGTTCTATAATTTTTTATACCACTCACATTCAGTGTTTGACAAGTTTATTTAAATTAGATTTAATTTAATGGCCACATGCAGATGATAGGCTGTAGGAATTTACTGAATTATATACATATATTTCATGCAAAGATAGGTAGAAGTCAGTAAAAGTTTTACATCAAGAATAGTGTAAATGAATTTCATTGAAGAAAATATGGTAAGGAAACATATCTTTACAGTTTCATTTCTGTGCTGCCATCTGCTGGAAATAACCAATTCAAGAATAAAATTATTTTTAGAGTATGCACACTCATAAGTAAATAAGAGGAAAATTTAGACAAAAGCTTATATTATTGCAATTATAATTCACACAAATGAAATAAAATATTGATATTTGTTCAAGATAATATTAGCCAAGAAATTATTTAATTTTATTCCAAATAATACCACCTCTGATTTAACAAAAATTATACAACAAATCTGAGTAAATC